ATAATGTCTGTTTGTAGTTTCCTCAGCTTTGTGTCAAACACATGAATGCTGCCATTTATAGAACAAGTGAAAATAAAGTGAAAAAGAGCAGAGGATATATTGGATGACTATCTGCATCCATCAAACAACAGATTTACTATATCCCTTGTATTTGATATAGCTAGAACCTCTAATTGAACCCCAGTTAGTCCCAGTAAGCTGTTATACATACTGGGAGCTTACTTATACCCAGTAAGCTTCTACTATAAGTAAGTAAGTGATTATTTTCTTTACTAGCAGTTTCCAATAATGATACTAATACCTACATTATTAGGGTCCTGGACCCTTTTGAAAATGACAGGGTGAAAATAAGAAGATCAGAGGAGGAGCTAGGTGGCAAAATGATTAAGGTAGTTAGGATGTGCTAGAGAATGATGGTAGATTTTTCAAAATGGAGAGGTTGGGAATGGAGCTGTAGAGCAAGAGGTTTGGTCATGGATAATCAGTATGGTTTACTGTTCCAGTGGTAGATCACACATCTGCTGTGTACTGAAGTTAACAAGTGCTGATTGCGAGAAGAAAGCATTGACCTGAGTTCAGAATAATAATAAATGGAGATTCAGGTCTCAGCAGGACATCACCCTGCTCTTTGCCTGACTTCTGAACAGGAGACCTAAAAGCACTGCATTCAACAAATGAACTATTCAGAAAAGCTCACAAAAGGAATCTACAGAATTGCCAACATTATATTATATATATTATTTAGACTGGCACTTTTTTTATGGGGTCTTTTAAAGACTAGTGCAGTTTAAAGTCTTTGACACTATAAACTGATATTAAAATAGTCAATTTTCTTCTTCAGTTTACACTTCCATGGTTATTTGAAATTCACACAGAACATTTTTAACGTAACATGTAAATAAAGATGACTTACTTTTTAAAAGTATTTCACAAACTAGGAACCTCAGTGTCCAACCCTAAACATGATTAAATTGCAGAAGCCAGAAAATGCTGCGATGAAAGGTGAAACTAATCATCTTCATCAACACCAACCAGTTTTTCTGCTACAACTTGATCAACAGCGCTGTGCACAATAGAGAATATAATAGGTCACTGCAACTTGGGAATGTACAATTTACAGCACTCAGGTTGTTTTACAAATGCCTTGCATCATAATGCCTGAGATATGTCCTTGGCCAGAGGTACAATTAGAGTAAAATATTTTAAACTGATGCTGACTAGTTTATAAATAAAACACTGATAGGAAAGTTAATACAGTAGTTGGACTTTACATTCTTTGTAGCTGAATATATTAGTTTGGTCAACTACAGTAGTACTTTCCAAGTATAGTTTTACAGTATTAGTGTTGACATAACCTCGGAGAAGTGTTGTTGTAGCATTTGTGTATTTAAACATCCCTGACGGCAGCATAGATGAACCAGTGAGCATGAAATCTAATTTCACTATCTCATTGTCAGGAGCGTCTCTCTGGAGTTTATAACGTTTAAAGATGTGTTACACAAACTGGTGTTGCTCATTTCACTAGTGATGTTTTTTCAAACCCAAAACAGAGAAAAAAAAATAGAGTCAGTCAGTAGCATAACTTCTTGTTGAACACAGATCAGTTGTTGAAGCACGGTGAAACTGATACTTTATTTGTGATTGTATATGGAGTCTACACCAGACAGAGTGAGAGGGAGTTAACTGTAATCCATTTCTCCACAAAGAGCTATTCATAAGAGGGTTAAAGTGATTATGGAGACAGGAGGATTGAAGAGAAAAAAGCACGGGAGCAGGAGGCCTGAGCTGTCCGAAGCATGGGGCCGGGCCGGGCCCGGGCCCGGACTTATGATTGTATTCAAATCAAAATCAAAATCAAATCATGCCCCCCCACTGCACCTCCGCCCTGCTCTCATGCACATACTGAGGGACAAAGTAAAGCAGTGTTGATGCTTTTCTCGACAAATGAATCCGTCATCCTTCCAGCCGGGCTATTGTATCACACGTCCTATTCTATACACTAAGATATACATGTTGATTAATTGCACCAGAAATATATCATATCCTGGGGTCTTGAAACAGTACTTACTACAAAATACTGCACACTGTACACAAACCACCACAGCTGCTTCCTTCGCTGCAGTAATAACAAAGAAAGGTCTGCACACAGCACAATAGGATGAATGCATTTACAACAAGGTCAAGTTTATGCATACAATTATGCAAATATGCCTTCTGAAGAGGAAATTTCACCAATTAAGGACCACCAACTATCTCCAGGTCTTTTCTTCTGCTCACTTAAATGTACAAGGGCGTCAAACCCTTCTTGTCGGCCATTTAAAAGTGCTCCTTTGAGAGCCAGAAAAAAGAAAAAAAAACTCTTGAAAGAAACTGATTGTAATCACTTTGTAATGTCAAACCTATTCAAATGGAAACTCTAGTAGATGACAAAGCGTGAGACAAGGCCATCTCCTGGCTCGGAGAGCCGGAGTATTCCAACCTGCAACCCAAAGGGTGGGAACTTGACTCCACCTAATACAAGGCTGTCTTTAAATACCTCATAGGCGCAACTTCTGGATAAATGCTTCCAATTTGTACCCTGAACTACACCAACCTGTTAGAAACCAAGGCTTATTTTAGGTAGATTACATCTGTCAATTGGTTGTTGGTAAGGAAAAAGAGTGAGGAGGAAGAAAATTGGGGGGCTGAGACAAAGCAGAGGGAGCTATTGTTTCAACCGTTCTTTCACCAAAAATGTTTGCCTCTTCAAGAGGTCTTGTGGACATTGTGTTAATGCAACAGTGAGCAGAGTAATGGATAGGTCTGCTGCAGAGGTAATGGAGCAAACAGGTCAAAAGGGTCAAGCTCGTATTGGTTGTCAGTAGGTTATTGATGATCACAATTCATGTAACCTCAGTGTAACCCCTTAGACTCTTTTTGAGTTTTTACTCATTTGCTTTATCATTAGTCAGACTTCTGTTTAGTAAATAAGGCGTATGTACATTCACCCAGACAAAGGATTCAACATTTTTTTTTGTTTTTAAATGTATTTTAAATTTAATTTACATGAAGTTTTGACCCTGCCTTTTTTTAATACAAGAATGACAAAACAAAACAAATTTAACCAATTGTGTTTAGGTTTATTGCTCAGGCCATGGTAAATCAACATTTCC